TCTCCATCGAACAGCATTGGTTTCATTCCTTAATATTAATTAGGAGGAAAGAGACGATTTTTTAATTAGCGGGCGAATTATTGGGGAGTCACTCTGCGCCGAGAAAACATTGAGTTTCTTATAGCGCCGTGACTTTTGTTGTATACCCCAGTATTTTGACCTTTTTTTTATAACAATTTCACTATATTTCATTATATTTTTATCGATATATTATTCCAACATTCCCCGTAGTTCCATAAAACCTGAATGGTTAGTCTGGGCCTCTCCCAATAATATTATTAAATAGACATAGTAAATAACTTTAACTAAATTCCCAAACGACTGTCTCCTCTCTGGGCCAATTCCCACTCTCCCATTTCTTCCATCAATACAACCTTTGGGCCATTTCCCTCATTAACTAAAATTCCCGAGAACCGCAATAAACTCCTGGAAATACCCAAGACCATCATAAACCTTAACGACGCCAGAATCCTTAACCACTCCTCTGACGTCACGAGTCCCAAACCTTCCCTCAAGTATGCCCAAAAATGGCAATGTTAGTCATCATCCCCTCCAGTTTTCCTTGCACCCTCAGGTACATAAAACTGAGGACTTCCACAATTTTAGTTAGTATTAATTTCATCGTGTAACAGAACCTCTGTCCGAAACTCGAAATATATAAACATCTTAGAAATTATTTTGAATCAGAGTTGTCACAATATTTAACAGTTTAAAAATATATTCTCGAATAAATTATCAGTTTTATTTTGTATAAAATCTGTGTTCGGAAATTTATTCAACAAGAATCCAACACTTTCGTCGCAATATTAATTTTTTTATTGCAGAGATTAAGGGATGAAACGGGAGTTGATGGATGGCGAATTTAATTCTCCATTGAACAGTCTTTGTTTCACCCTTAATACTAATTAGTCGGCGAATATATCAACTGAAAAACATAAAGTAACCATTGAGTACAAGGAGGACAAAAATCCCCTCTTAACCTGTCCCTGTCACAGCGAGACTGCTACTGCCGAGTTACGCACCCGAACCCCCAGGTACCTAGCCGACATAGGTCACTAATTAGAAAAATGATCTTATGTACTCGATTGTACATCGTTAGTACATGATTGTACAGTGATTTTTTTTGTTTGTACACCCACCAATTAATTTAAAAAAATTAATGAAGTTTTGGCATGATTCTAGCCGACAAAAATTTCAAACTGTTCAATCAGCTCAAGTTAGGGGTCTATCTCAAAGGAAATCGTTTGTACATTACGAATTTGATATTATTATCGTTTGTACAATCATCATTTATTAGTTAAAGCTGCGGTAAGTAATCATTGTCAACCCCCCCCTCGCCCCGCAGATCATTGGTAGTTCCTACGTTATCGACATTAATATTTACATACACTCTGGTCCGTTGTTTATATCGTTGTCCATATTATTATTCCATTATTTATCCCAATAAATGAACATTGAATGCTTCGAAGTTACAGTTTATTAAGCATCAATGGGTACATTCGTTTTTTTTTCGAGCACGGAGGAATACTTGTGTGCAGTGTTCTATCACCTTGCATTCTGACAGGTAGAAAGGGTTATGGTTGATTACAATCATTAGCAAAAAATTTACTAATGATTTGCACCAGGAGAAGGTCCGCCGATGTTGGCACATGCCGAGTGATTTCTCTCTTCGAGGGAGAAATTGGCAGTAAGTAAAATTGATTTTATTCCAAATTCAATCATTCATTCTCTTAATTTTTTTTACAGTCGATTCCTTGTAAAAATTTCGTATAAATAAATGACATTAAGTGACCTCAACCCCTGCTATTGGAAACGCTAAATGTCAAAACGCCACCTATGAATNAACCACTCCTCTGACGTCACGAGTCCCAAACCTTCCCTCAAGTATGCCCAAAAATGGCAATGTTAGTCATCATCCCCTCCAGTTTTCCTTGCACCCTCAGGTACATAAAACTGAGGACTTCCACAATTTTAGTTAGTATTAATTTCATCGTGTAACAGAACCTCTGTCCGAAACTCGAAATATATAAACATCTTAGAAATTATTTTGAATCAGAGTTGTCACAATATTTAACAGTTTAAAAATATATTCTCGAATAAATTATCAGTTTTATTTTGTATAAAATCTGTGTTCGGAAATTTATTCAACAAGAATCCAANTATAAATAAATGACATTAAGTGACCTCAACCCCTGCTATTGGAAACGCTAAATGTCAAAACGCCACCTATGAATGGCGGATATTGGGCTGCACACAGACAGTATCCAACCCCATTTTGGCTTGTGTCAGCGTGTATATGAGAAGCCTAAAATCGTCCATATTGGTGAAAACGAGCGCCGCCATCGGTAACTAGCGGTCTCAATCCGGACCGCCGTATACTTGGTGAACAAATTCCATATTTTTTAAAAATAATTATCGGAATCATTAGGAAATAATTTGCAAAAATTTAGAAAAGCATTTTCATTATCTGGAAACAAATAATTATTTAATAATTATTGCAAAACTGTCGAACCGTATAGTTGGCATACATTGACCAAAATTTAAAAAGTTGAACTTTAATCAATGTAAAATAATTTGAAAATAATAGTGAGAATGTTTTTCTCATATGGAAAACTAATATAAAGTCCATAATTATTAATAAAAAAAGATGGACATATATAATGGATCACGTGACCCCACCTCTATGACCCCCACCCCTCTCTCTCGCTCTTTTATCTTCGAAAATGAGATGATGAAGAAAAAATTGAATCGTTGTTCACGCATTGTGTTTTTTACAAATTAATAAAATTCATTGACACTTGACGAATTTTTCACTGATTCATTTTTTTTATCAAATTGTTATAAATGTTGGCAGAAGTTGAGGAGACTTGGGATGAGTAGAGATATTTCACAGATTATTTTGGGAATTTTTCCTGCAATTTCAAGTGAAAATGTTTCAATTATTTTATAGCAAATGACACAAAAAATAATCAATAAAATTCTTTTCTTTCACTTCCAAAACTAATTTTCTAATATCTCGTATTCCTAAAATAATCTTCACGAAATTGTTTAACTCATCGACCCCAACTTCGCACTTGCCTGGTTAAAATACTTGGTGGTAATTTAAATGCTCATGCTCACAAAACTGCAAAAATCAAGGGAAATGATAGACTGAGGCATACGATTCTTTAGTACTTTGAATTCGATTTTTCTACTGTATCGTAAAAGGTGAATGATAAATACCATTAAAAATATAGGATAATAGAGTTACGAATAGAGGAGCCTAATAATTTGGTGAAAGCAAAAAAAGACAAGCGTTGATCTGCTGAAAATTGCTTTATTTTTATCAATTTAAAATTCTAACGACAAACGAGTGAATAGAACAATGCGAATACAATTGACCTGAATCATCCATAAAGAGCAGAGTCGAGTGATTTCAGTACCGACTTGAACAGCTTTCCAATCAACGAAGCAGTTGCTCTCAGGTGTGTCCATTTGATGGACCGGACTGCGATTAGGTTACTCTCTCTTGCAATCATCGTAATTATCCTCGAATCTCTTACGCTTGACAGTCATGGAGCCTATTCTCGAATTGAAATCGTACGATCGAATTCGACAAGTCGTATGCGACTCAGTACGCTTTATGGGTCGCATGCGATCTGCCGAAATCGAACACACGATTTCAACTCGAGAATAGACTCCCATGTCATATCCATTCTCATCAGCATCATCATCATTGTCATCCCGATCCTCAATCTCCAGTCTGTCTGGATCGAAGCTGTTGAAGCACGTGTTCTCCTCAGGCTCGCACCTCATCAAACTCAGGTAAATCATTGGCCCCTAATTCGAGATGATGGGTTTGATAATGAGACCCCGGAGGTACCTGAAGATGTCCAGGTGGACTGCACCAACTCCGAAAGGTCGGAATTGGCTCAGTCTCTGAGATTTCAGGCTCGATTGCGTAGTTCCCTAGCATCCAGGAGAGAAGCAGTGGTCCGTCCTCTAGGGAGCTCTCCCTCAGGCACTTGTGCCCTAGGGTATCCTGCATTCCCATTCGAACTTCGCTCTGCCAGGTCTAAACGATGCTCGCGCCGTCGACGAGCTCAGAGTGTTTTCTCATGCCGAGAATCACGAGGTGGACAGCAGATTGGCTCCTTCGGATTTTGTCTTTGAGATTATCTCCTTGTACTCGTGGCTCTTGGAGATGGAGAGGCGTCGGGGCTCTCCGCAGATGCTCGAGTAGAGGCTCTCGGAGGTCTACAGGCAGGTTGGATCCAGGATCATCGTGAATATGTGCAGCGGCTTTCGCATTTCAATCAGTTTGATGGTGTAGCGCTTGTGCAGGTATTCTTCAGTTTTCAGGTGGGATTTGGAGGCTGCACTCGTGAACTTCAAGCGCTCTATCTGCTCCAGAGTGGAGGCCAGGAAGGTCTTCAGGGGGTTCTCCTGGAAGAACTTGGAGACTTCCTTCTGATAAGGGTGATATCCAGGTCCACGTGACGGACATGAGCTAGAGAATGGTAAAGGAATAGAAGGAGAAGACTCGGTCACGTAACTCTAGAACAATATTGCGGGCATTCTTTTTTCATTGATTATCAATACAATATTAGTTTTCCAAATGGGGAAAACATTTCCACTATTATTTTCAAATACTTTCACATTGATTAAAGTATTTTTTTTAAATTTTGGTCAATGTTTGCTAAGTATACGGTTCAACAGTTTTTCAATAATTAATAAATAACTATTTGTTTCCAAATTATGAAAATGCATTTCTAAATTTTTCTAAATTATTTCTTAAAGATTATAATCATTATTTTTTAAAAATATGGAATTTGTTCGCCAAGTATACGGTGGTCTCTTTGCTGTGTTGCACGGAGTATAGGCCAGAAATGAATGGGTGGGTTCGTGCCTTTGTTATTTCAGTTCATGCTTCAGCGATGACGTGGAAGTGGGGAGGAAACAAGTGAATCGGACGGATTTTCAATACTCCATTTCGACGACATCAGTGTTGACCTCAATAATGATAATAATAAAAGTAAACAATTGGTTTGCTGTGAATGAGAAAATTGCATTTTTTTTACTGCGAGTGAATCGAAAAAAAAAGATGAGACGACGAAGGAAAAAATAACAAATTATATTTTGCAAAAAAAAAATCATTGGAAAAAAAACAAATATAAAATGAACCGCTATTTCGGAGCAGAAAAAAAAAGTAATTTGTCAATTGTAAAATTATCTTGATAATGAGTGATGATAAGGGAAAATGCCGAAAATAATTCCAAATTGGACATTTTTTTAGTTGCAAAAAAGTTCCCCTCAAACTTCCTCTTAAACTCACTCTTTCCGGGGATAAATGCCTCATTAATTTTATTTTATAATTAATTGTAAAGTGTAAAATGAAAATGCTATTTTATTTTACAGGTTCGACGAGATAGAATCTACTGATTGTGAGAAAGACTGAGGATGAATTTAATCCAATAGTGGACTCAATTTCAATGCGATAAATAAATCGAGGTGAGATCGATAACTCCAAATTTTAACCGAAAATTAACAATATATTTTTCTTATCTCTACTCCAATCCAATGTAAGATTTTAGTTCTCAATTTTCACATACAATAAATGACGTTTTTCATTGGAAATTAATTGAAAATTCGAAGACCAGCTAATTTTTAGTTTCTTACTGATTTATTATAAAATTTGTCATCTTCAGCATTCAGACTTTGGAAAAAGAAATACTTTTGAATATTTTTAAATTTGGATTCCATTGCTGGCATCAGATCATTCATGAAATTTACCTTTTGTTATGGAAATTGAACATTACTACAATTAAATTTTTAATAGACGAAAGTATCAGTGTCTCATACCGTCCAAGGAAATATTTACTAATGTTAATTATTTTTTTTACAGGTATGGAGCCGAGTAAGTCGAATGGGAAATTAAATCATGATAGATCGTGGATTGATTCTACTCCGATCATCAGCTACTATCAACTTGTCATATTTAAAATTAAATTATACAAGTGTATAAAACAAATTGTACGAAAGTAACTGTATTTGATTAAAACTGATTAGAGATTCAATTCTTATGAATGAATTATGAATTATGAATTAATTAATTATAACAGTGTCAACTTATTTCTGGTATTTTCGTTAAAAGGTTATTGCAACTCTCGTTGTTGTAAAAAATGAGGCGATCATTGATATTACCCTTGCAGCTTGAATTTTCAAAATCGTTGTAACAATTGAAAATTTGATTCAAATGAATTCATACGATAGCAAAAAATTCAATAATTCGCTTCAATCTGAAAAGCAAAAATTTACAAAAATTTCATTTTAATTTGTGGTTTTTGCAAATTTTAATATTTTTTACATGCAATTCTACGAGCAATTTTGAAGATGTCTGACAACAATGAAAATACTCGATAATTTTTTGGGAAATATGTTATAAAATCTATTCTATTATTGAGAGAGGGAAAATTAGAGGAATCATGACATCAACATTAACATCAGTCTCACTATGCAGCTTATAAAAAACCTCGACCGCTGCCTAAGTTTATTCTAATTTCGACGACAGATTTACATGTAGAAAATCTTGTCTAGAAAATGTTTCTCAACAATTCGAGTCATTGTATCGCACGCTGCGAACAGAGTTAATTTTCAACTTAATCAGTCTACAACTGTTAGTTTTTTCTTCCTATTATATTTTATATCACAAATAAGATTGTTGCAAACCCTTATCACAACCAAATACAAAATTATTACAATGTTATGCTTCATAAAACACAACGAAAATGTAAAATCTTAAAACATCGAGCGATTCAAAAAAAAAACAGTCCTCTTGATCACAGATTCAATCGAAAACCTCGTCACGCCAACACTTCACATTATCAACACCCAGTTATTCCCAAAATCTACAACAGCAATTCTGCCACTCGTGGTCAACGCAATCCCCGATGGTCCATCCATCTCCCCATATCCTTGCCCATAAGTTCCGAATGTCCACTGACGATTGCCGGTAGAGTCTAGAACCTGGATGGTATAGTTTTTGGCAGTGTCTAGACACACGGTATATGACAATTACAATGCACCCAAGGAAACGTTTACAATGCATCTAAGGCTTATTTTACTATACGTCTCTGGTTTTTACCATGCGTCTATGGTTTTTACCATGCGTCTATGAATTTTACCATGCGTCCATGGTTTTTATCATACGTCTATGAATTTTACCATGCGTCTATGGTTTTTACGGTGATGTAAGGAAATGTCTAGGGCATATCCCTAGCGGCCCCAGTGGAGAGTCCAACTCAGTATTTGTTCCACGATTAGAGAGTAAGTAGAGAATGGGTTGACAGGGCAGATTGTTTACTCTCCAATGCTTTCAGAGAGTAGATATAGCTGAGGCGAGGGATATGCTAACCCTTATTAACTATGGCCCTTGAGAAATTTGACCCTCTAACCGACTGATCCTTGTACTTGGGACCTGTTTGAACTCCCGGAGCTCAAACTTTTGGACCCTGGAATGTTTTCAGATGCAAATACTCTGATATTTCATTTGAAAAATTTTAATTCTATCTTTGTGACCCTTATAATTTCAGACCCTTCAATTGGGACTCTCAATGATTCTGACCCTTGCAAATATTGAAAAGTGTAACTTTTGACCCTTAAACCTTCAGACCCTTAGACTAGTCGTACTATCCACTCTACTGTTGTATAGAGAGTAGATGGTTTGGATCGGATGCGTGGTGGGGGCTACTGTCTACTCTCTACTCGTCTAGAGAGTAGATAGTTGGCGCCGGGTGCTTCGTGGAGGCATTCAGACCCTTATAATTTTAGACCCTTATCGTTGCTGATGGGCCTTGAAACTTGAACCTCAATGGTGCTGACCCTTGAAAATGATAAAAGTTAAATTTTTGACCCTTAATATTTCTGACCCTTAGACTAGCCGTACTATCTACTATCTACTGTTGTAGAGAGTAGATAGTTGGGAGGCTACTCTCTACGCGTCTAGAAAGTAGATAGGTAGGTGCGAGGTGGGGGCATTCAGACCCTTATTTTCTTTAGACCCTCATCATTCCTCATGATCTTAAAAATTTGAACCTAAATGGTGCTGACCCTTGAACATGTTTAGAGCGAAATTTTAGATTTAAAATTTCTGACCCTTAGACTAGTCGTACTATCTACTCTCTACTGTTGTAGCGCCGGGTGCTTGGTGGAGGCATTCAGACCCTTATTTTCTTTAGACCCTCATCATTCCTCATGATCTTAAAAATTTGAACCTAAATGGTGCTGACCCTTGAACATGTTTAGAGCGAAATTTTAGATTTAAAATTTCTGACCCTTAGACTAGTCGTACTATCTACTCTCTACTGTTGTAGCGCCGGGTGCTTGGTGGAGGCATTCAGACCCTTTATTTTTGAGACCCTCATCGTTCCTCATGACCCTTGAAACATGACCCTCAATAGTGCTGACCCTCGAAAGTGATAACAANTCTGACCCTTAGACTAGTCGTACTATCTACTCTCTACATCAGTAGAGAGTAGATAGTACGGCTAGTCTAAGGGTCAGAAATATTGAGGGTCAAAAATTTGATTGTTATCACTTTCGAGGGTCAGCACTATTGAGGGTCATGTTTCAAGGGTCATGAGGAACGATGAGGGTCTCAAAAATAAAGGGTCTGAATGCCTCCACCAAGCACCCGGCGCTACAACAGTAGAGAGTAGATAGTACGACTAGTCTAAGGGTCAGAAATTTTAAGTCTAAAATTTCGCTCTAAACATGTTCAAGGGTCAGCACCATTTAGGGTCAAATTTTTAGGGTCATGAGGAATGAAGAGGGTCTAAAGAAAATAAGAGTCTGAATACCCCCACCTCGCACCTACCGCCAACTATCTACTCTCTAGACGCGTAGAGAGTAGAGAGTAGCCCCCACCACGTATCCGCTCCCAACTATCTACTCTCTACAACAGTACATAGTAGATAGGACGGCTAGTCTAAGGGTCAGAAATATTAAGAGTCAAAAATTTAACTTTTATCATTTTCAAGGGTCAGCACCATTGAGGTTCAAGAAACAAGGCCCATAAGCAACGATAAGGGTCTAAAATTATAAGGGTCTGAATGCCTCCACTAAGCACCCGGCGCCAACTATGTACTCTCTAGACGAGTAGAGAGTAGACAGTAGCCCCCACCACGCATCCGATCCAAACCATCTACTCTCTATACAACAGTAGAGTAGATAGTACGACTAGTCTAAGGGTCTGAAAGTTTAAGGGTCAAAAGTTACACTTTTCAATATTTGCAAGGGTCAGAATCATTGAGAGTTCTAATTGAAGGGTCTGAAATTATAAGGGTCACAAAGATAGAATTAAAATATTTCAAATGAAATATCAGAGTATTCTCAGCTGAAAACATTCCAGGGTCCAAAAGTTTGAGCTCCGGGAGTTCAAACAGGTCCCAAGTGCAAGGGTCAGTCGGTTAGAGGGTCAAATTTCTCAAGGGCCATAGTTAATAAGGGTCAGCATATCCCTCGCCTCAGCTATCTACTCTCTGAAAGCATTGGAGAGTAGACAATCTGCCCTGTCACCCCAACTCTCTACCCATTCTCTACTTACTCTCTAATCGTGGAACAAATACTGAGTTGGACTCTCCACTGGGTCGGCTAGGGATATGCCCTAGACATTTCCTTACATCACCATAAAAACCATAGACGCATGGTAAAATTCATAGACGTATGATAAAAACCATGGACGCATGGTAAAATTCATAGACGCATGGTAAAAACCAGAGACGTATAGTAAAATAAGCCTTAGATGCATTGTAAACTTTTCCTTGGGTGTATTGTAATTGCCATATACCGTGTGTCTAGACACTACCAAAAACTATACCATCCAGGTTCTAGACTCTACCGGCAATCGTCAGTGGACATTCGGAACTTATGGGCAAGGACATGAGGAGATGGATGGACAATCGGGGATTGCGTTGACCACGAGTGGCAGAATTGCTGTTGTAGATTTTGGGAATAACTGGGTGTTGATAATATGAAGTGTTGGCGTGACGAGGTTTTTGATTGAATCTGTGATTAAGAGGACTGTTTTTCTTTTTGAATCGGTCGATGTTTCAAGATTTTACATGTTCGTTGTGTCTTATGAAGCATAACATTGTAATAATTTTGTATTTGGACTGATTAAGTTGAAAATTAACTCTGTTCCATCAGAGCCTACATTTTCGCGGGAAGAGATCACAGTGTGCGATACAATGACTGGAATTGTTGAGAAACATTTTATGGACAAGACTTTCTACATGTAAATGTGTCGTCGAAATTAGTATAAACTTAGGCGGTGGTCGAGGTTTTTTATAAGCTGCATAGTGAGACTCATGATAATGTTGATGTGATGATTCCTCTGATTTTCCCTCTCTCAATCATAGAATAGATTTTATAACATATTTCCCAAAAAATTATCGAGTATTTTCATTATTGTCAGACATCTTCAAAATTGCTCGTAGAATTGCATGTAAAAAATATTGAAATTTGCAAAAACCACAAATTGAAATGAAATTTTTGTAAACTTTTGCTTTTCAGATTGAAGCGAAGTCTTGAATTTTTTGATATAGTAAGAATTCATTTGAATCAAATTTTCAATTGTTACAACGAGTTTGACAATTCAAGCTGCAAGGGAAATATCAATGATCGCCTCATATTTTACAACAACGAGAGTTGCAATAACGTTGTAACGAAAATACCAGAAATAAGTTGACACTATTATTCTTAATTAATTCATAATTCATAATTCATTCATAAGAATTGAATCTCTAATCAGTTTTAATCAAATACAGTTACTTTCGTACAATTTGTTTTATACACTTGTATAATTTAATTTTAAATATGACAAGTTGATAGTAGCTGATGATCGGAGTAGAATCAATCCACGATCTATCATGATTTAATTTCCCATTCGACTTACTCGGCTCCATGCCTGTAAAAAAAATAATTAACATTAGTAAATATTTCCTTGGACAGTATGAGACACTGATACTTTCGTCTATTAAAAATTTAATTGTAGTAATGTTCAATTTCCATAACAAGAGGTAAATTTCATGAATGATCT